TACCGAATTATATTTAAGGACTCTGAAAAGCTATTAGAAGAGACACTAATGAAACGTTGGAGGGGCAGAAGAAATTTCAAGGGAAGATCAAGAACAATGAAGAAAGAATCACAAGTGAAATGGGAAGGGGAAGGACTAATCAGATAGAATGAAGGTACTGGAATAGTCACTAAACTATACCTGAAGTGGACCAGCATAGCGTAGGAACTATGGAATACCCCTGGGCACAGCATGGCAAGATACCTGGGACAACACATATTGAATACGTGAACTCCTGCCAGGCTGGAAAGGCTTCCCTCCACACTTATCTATTTAGAGAGTTGCATAGGAAAGAACCTATAGAGAAGACAGAGGAAAATGCAAGGAAAAGATGGCTTTTACATCAATGGTACCAAAGTTAAATTACAGTTACAATCCACCTGGAAACAATCCACCCTTCTTTTTCTTTTTTTTTTTTTCAAGATTTTTTTTTTTTGGATGTGGACCATTTTTAAAGTCTTTATTGAATTTCTTACAATATTGCTTCTGTTTTCTGTTTTGGTTTTTTGACCGGAAGGCACGTGAATTCTTACCTCCCCGACCAGGAATTGAACTGCAGCCCCGACATTTGAAGGCGAAGTCTTTTTTTTTTTTTGCGGTACGCGGGCCTCTCACTGTTGTGGCCTCTCCCGTTGCGGAGCACAGGCTCCAGACGCGCAGGCTCAGCGGCCATGGCTCACGGGCCCAGCCGCTCCGCGGCATGTGGGATCTTCCCGGACCGCGGCACGAACCTGTGTCCCCTGCATCGGCAGGCGGACTCTCAACCACTGCGCCACCAGGGAAGCCCTGGAGAGCACTCTTAATGGGAAATGATAATAATTGTTGTTAGGAAGTAAACCCCAAAATGTAAAAGGTAGAAGGCTTAAGTATTCTTTCCTCTTGTCCTTTCGGCCTGAAAAGTGCTGCGGAAATCCAAGAAGCACTGCAGTAAGGAAACTGGTTAAGTAAAGTATGATGTAAGACAACAATTTGGAATAATATTTAGCCATTAAAAACCATAATTTAGGGTTTCCCTGGTGGCACAGTGGTTAAGAATCCGCCTGCCAATGCAGGGGACATGGGTTCGAGCCTTGGTCCAGTAAGATCCCACATGCCGTGGAACAACTAAGCCTGTGCACCACAACTACTGAGCCTGCGCTCTAGAGCCTGGGAGCCACAACTACTGAAGCCTGCGTGCCTAGAGCCCGTGCTCCGCAACAAAAGAAGACACCGCAATGAGAAGCCTGCGTGCCTCAACAAAGAGTAGCCTCCAGTTGCAATTAGAGAAAGCCTGTGCCCAGCAACAAAGACCCAACACAGCCAAAAATAAATAAATTTTTAAAACCATAATTTAGAATATTTAATGACTCAGAAATGTTTATAGTATATTAAGAGAAAAAAGCAGATTATAGAACCATATATAAAATGTTTCCATTTTTAACTTTGATATAATTTTTAAAGGTTACTTTCCATTTACAATTATTACAAAATATTGGCTATGTTCCCCGTGCTGTACAATACATCCTTGAGCCTATTTTACACCCAATAGTTTGTACCTCCCACTGCCACACCCCTATATTGCCCCTCCCCCACCCCCACTGGTAACCACTAGTTTGTTCTTTATATATGTGAATCTGCTCCTTTTTTTGTTATATTCACTAGCTTGTTGTATTTTTTAGATTCTACATATAAGTGATACCACACAGTATTTGTCTTTCTCCGTCTGACTTACTTCACTTAGCACAATGCCCTCCAAGTCCACCCATGTTGCTGCAAATGGCAAATTTTCGTTCTTCTTTATAGCTGAGTAGTATTCCATTGTGTATATATACCACATCTTTTTTATCCATTCATCTCTTGATGGACACTTAGTTTGTTTCCTTGCCTTGGCAATTGTAAATAATGCTGCTATGAACATTGGGGTGCACCTATCTTTTCAATTAGTAGGGTTTTTTTTTCAGATATATACCCAGGAGTGGAATTGCTGGGTCATCTGGTAGTTCTATTTTTAGTTTTTTAAGAAACCTCCATACTGTTTTCCACAGTGGCTGCGGCAATTTACTTTCCCAAGAACAGTGTACAAATGTTCCCTTTTCTCCACATCCTCGCCAACATTTGTTATTTGTAGACTTTGATAATAGCCATTCTGACAGATGTGAGGTGATATCTCATTGTGGTTTTGATTTGCATCTTTCATAATTAGTAGTTTTTAGCATCTTTTCATGTGCCTGTTGGCCATCTGCATTTCTTCTTTGGAAAAATGTCTCTTCAGTTCTTCTGTCCATTTTTTAATTGGGTTGTTTGCTTTTTTTGATGTTGAGTTGTTATACTTCATTTATAGTTATTATACTCCATTTACAGTTATTATAAAATATTGGCTGTATTCCCATTGTTGTACAAGATATCCTTGTGGCTTATTTTACACCTAATAGTTTGTACCTACTGTTGTACCCCTACTCCCAGATTGACCATTCCCCACTTCCCTCTTCCCACTGGTAACCACTAGTTTGTTCTCTATATATGTGAATCTTCTTCTTTTTTGTTACATTCACTAGTTTGTTGTGTTTTTTAGATTCCACATATAAGTGATATCATACGGTATTTATCTTTCTCCATCTTACTTATTTCACTTAGCAATAATGCCCTCCAAGTCCGTCTATGTTGCTACAAATGGCAAATTTTCATTCTTTTTTATGGATGAGTAGTATTCCATTATGTATATGTGTCTCTCTCTCTCTCTTTCTCTCTCTCTCTATATGGATGCTTTTTAAAAATTTCCAAATTTTCTACAATGAATAAGTATCTTTGTAAAAAACAAAATAAAACAAAAACCTAGGAGCTGCTAGAAAGCTGCTGGACCTCAAAGCCCAGAGAATGAAATCAAAGCAGTTTTATCTAGTGCCCCAGTCAGAAGCTAAGAGCTGCTATGCGTAGCTCTGTAAGGGACAGGAAGAGTTTTCCTTTGTTTAGGTTTAGTTATATAAAACCAATATGGAGAAAAGAAGTTGAAAAAAGTCTGGTTTAGAAACCAACACAATATTAATATATTATTAAATTGACAACAATTTAAATTGTTAAATTTTAAGAGCCAATACTCAAAACAATGTGGCAAAATGTTATATATATTCTTATATATGACATACATTTATGTATACGTTTTCTTACTGGTGATGCATATCAACACAACCCTTTGAAAGCAATTCAGCAAAATGGATGAACGACCATAAAATGTGCATGTTCAGAATGGTACAAGCCACTGTGGAAACAGTTTGGCAGCTTCTGATAAAATTAAGCATACAACTATCATTCAACTCAACAATCGCACTTGTGGGCATTTATCCCAGAGAAAGAAAAACTTGCACAAAAACCTGTACATGTGTGTTCATAGCAGCTTTATTTGTGATAGCCCCAAACTGAAAACAACCCAGATGTTCTTCAAAGGATGAACAGTTAAACAAACCATGGATATTCAGCAATAAAAAGGAATGAACTAGTTATACGTGCATGATACATGCAACAACTTGGATAATCTCCAGGGAATTATGCTGAGTGAACAAAGCAATCCCAAGAAGTCACATACTGTATTATTCCATCTTTGAATGATTTCCACTCTGGAAATAACAAAAGTATAAGATAGAGAACAGATTAGCAGCTGCCAGGGATATGTGGGAGGGAGGGAAGTGTGGCTGTAAAAGGGCACTAGAGGATCCTTGCCGTAATGGAAATGTCTTGTATTTTTCCTATCAATGTAGATATTCTGGTTGTGATAGTGTACTATAGTTTTACAATATGATACTATTGGGGAACCTGAGTAAAAGGTACTTGGGATCTCCGCATTATTTCTTACAACTGCACGTGTTATCTACTATTATCTCAAAATAAAAAAACTTTATTTAAAAAAATAAAGTACGTCTTCTTTTGGCCAGTTATCAGAAGTCTGGAAATTTGTTCTAGGAATATAATCCAGAAGAAGAAAAAACTTTAAAGGCACCAGATGTTCACTACAGTGGTATTTACAATAGGGAAAAGAAACAATTTAAGTGTCCAAACAGGAACACAGACAAATGGTGGCATAGCCACCCAAGAATTATGCAGTCGTTTGATGCATCAACGAAGCAACGTTATTTGAAAAGGGAGGATTCAAAACTGTGGTACAATGTGAAATCTCTGTGAGGTGGATTGTAATATATTACAGAAGTTTCAATAGTTAGTCTATGTGAAATTCCAGCAAATGTTTTCCTTCCCTCAAGCTATCTGTAAAGTTACATGGTTTTTACATGGTTTGGGGGTGGAGGGAACGACAGTAAAGGACATTTTTTTATGTTAAATTACAAATGTCGGAGTCACGATAAAAGTTCTTTAAATCTGTCCCTCAGAACCAACAGAACAAACTTCGTTTTTCAGGTTCCAGGGTGGGAACAAGAGTGCATACAAGGGCCCACAGTCACGAGTCCAGGGCAGGTGCCATTACGCACCCGATTCATCCGCTGCAGCTGCTCCAGCGCTATGCCCACAGCCCAACCCCAGGATCCCACCAGGAGTCCGGGGAAAGGACCCCCGAACAAGGGCGAGGACGCAGCCCGGAGGTGCAGTGACCACTCCAAGGTCACCAGCGAGCTGGCAGTCGAGGCTCGGCCCGGCCCAGCCCAGAGCTCCCTGACTCTGAGTCGGGGTCTCGCTCTCTCCCCCGCGTCCCCCGCCCCAACCCAAGCTTCGACCCCAAAGCTCCAGAGCGGCGAACTCCCACGTTGCGTCCAAGCGGCCACCCGGCCCCCAGCCCCTGAGCTGGCGCCCCCACCTCACGCCGCCGGCCAAGACCCCCCGAGCGCTGCAGCGTGGCGCGACCTAGACCATTCCCCGCTTCCTTTTTCGCCCTCTCAACCCAGCTTTTCCCGACTCCGGGAAGAACCGGGAAGAGAAGGCGGAGGGGAGCCAGGCGCCGCCGGATAAATACTGTGGCTCGGCCCCGCCCACCGACCTCACTTCCGCCCCGCGACAAGATGGCGGTGCCCGCGCCGTGCCACGCAGACTTCCGCCCGGCGCCGAGGCCCGGGGCCGACCGCCGGTCGCCTCGGAGGTGAAGTCGGGACGTGCGTGGTGCGGAGCTGCAGCCTGGGTGCGCTGAGGTGCGTCGTTGCCTCGTGCCTGGTCGGGAGCCTGGGGAGACGGCGAGCCAAGGGCTCTGGCCGCGGTGGTCCGGGGAGTCTCGCCACGTGGGAGGGGGAGGAGCTGAGACGCTGCGGGAGGGACGCCCTGACGGGGGGGGCGGGAGGCCACGTGGGTGGGGTTCCGCACAGGGTCCGCGTGTCCTCCCCCTCGAGTGACTTCGTTACCCCTTTCCTCCTTTTCTCCCAGGCACCATGTCAGAAGGAGACGCCGCGGGCGAGCCGAGTGCTCCAGGAGGGCCCCGACCCCTCCTTTCTGGGGCGCGGGGGCTTATCGGGCGGAGGCCGGCGCCTTCCCTCACCCCGGGCCGTCTTCCCTCCATCCGCTCCAGGGATCTCACCCTCGGGGGAGTCAAGAAGGTACCCGACAGCACCTTTCTAAAGAAACCCAACTACCCTGAATTCCAGGCACCTGGGGGTTTGACTGATGTTCCTGTAGGGCCTAGCGTGGTGTTGGGCCTCACGAATCTTGTCCTCAGACTTACGCCTACAATTTCTGGGGAGCCCTACCTTGAAATCAAGATACTGGGTACGAAATATTGACATGGCTCTCAGAGATGACTGAAGAGCAGAGAATCCTAATTAGCTCAGAAGCAACTTGAGCAGTGTTTATTTCGTTTTTGTGTGTGTCTTGGATACCTTTAACAAACCCATGAAAGCCACGCAGACATAAACTTTGCCTTCAATTTAAGAGAGTTCTGAATTTGACCTGGATCTCAGTGTGCAAACTTCTGATCCAAAGTATTATGATTCTTAGACATGGTATCAGAGGCTCTGAGTCCTTTCCTATTATGTTTATGACTGTAGATGTAAAGGGTAGCCCTTAAAGAAGATGGGGAGGATGACAGCATAAAAGCAGCCAGTTTTTGAAGACCAAAGTTTACCTTTGGAAATTCTGGTGGCAGTCTAACCCGATCCTCTGTTTGTGAGTGCTGGCAGGTCTGTCTTCCCTACTTGAGCCTTGCTGCTAGAGCTCTTTCCCTGTGATACTGTCTGGTCTCTATAGCAGTTTGAAGACAAGGGGGTGAGGTTAGGTAAATTGCTTTGCTATTAGAAGTCCTGAGAGCTCTCCTTTCAGGGGGCAGAAGCTGAGGCTGCTATTTACATGTTTTTTGATGCCCCTTTTCTTCTATGTGTAACTCCACTGTCACCATGAAGTGACATTCCTCCTTTTCAAACACATGTCCCTTTCTGTAAGTCTTTGACAACAGTGTGGAATGTGCAGAAGAGAGCCATGTTGGTCTTTGTCCACAGAAGTTGCCCCTTTGGAAGTTTTTATTTTCCCCTGTACTTTGGGATCAGAATTTACCAACTCAGTGACTCCTGTATTTTACTTTCAGAAAACCTTCACCCCAAATATCATCAGTCGGAAGGTCAAGGAAGAGTAAGTAGCAAGGCCTTCTGAATACTTGCCCCTTATTTACTTGCTCTGAATTTGGGCCTTTGGGGAAATAACTAAGTATGGGGCTCAGAAATTTAAATTTGTAGATTTAATTCTTTTCAGTAGTGATTTTCAATCCTGGCTCCCAGGTGTTTCTAGCGTGTAAGCTTTAAAAAATATGGATGCCTGGGAGTCCATCCCTAAAATAGTGGTTTAACTTGTTTGCAATGAAACAGAGTGATTATCTTTTATAGCCAGAGTTGAGAGCCAGTAGTTTGGGCAAAGATGTGTCAGGTTATCCCTTAAGTTCTTTTGCAACGCAGCTTTCCTACTTTCAGTTAATACCCAAAAATCCACATTTGGGGGCAGTCTCTATAATTCAACTTTTGAGTTATAGTTCTAACATACACTCTCAAGCAAAAAGGTAGAGTACAGTAAACTGAAAGGACTCTGCTTCAGCAAGGAAGGGAAAAAGGTGCTAGACTTAAGATTGGGTGTTCTGCCTCTCATGATGTAGTTGTTGGCTCATGTGGAGCGGAGTGTATGGGAGAGTAAGATCAGTTCTCAGAGGCAGGGGAAGTGAGTGGTTTCCCTTAATCCAGTGTCTTTTCCAGGCCCAAGGAAGAAGTAACTGTCAAGAAGGAGAAGCGTGATAGGGATAGAGACCGACAGCGAGAGGGCCATGGACGGGGCCGGGGGCGCCCAGAAGTGATCCAGTCCCACTCTATCTTTGAGCAGGGCCCAGCTGAAATGATGAAGAAAAAGGGTACAAAGCTGCCGGGGCTCTGGGAGGAAGGAATTGGTGGATTTCAGTTCAGACTGCTCGAGAGAAGGGCAAGGGCGGTGGCATTCCCCTGCTTGCTCCCAGTTAGTGGTCCTTGCTGTTGGCCCCTTCCTTACTCCTGGTGAACTGGGTGGTTTCCCACAGGGAACTGGGATAAGACGGTGGATGTGTCGGACATGGGGCCCTCTCACATCATCAACATCAAAAAGGAGAAGAGGGAGACGGATGAAGAAACAAAACAGATTCTGCGTATGCTGGAGAAGGATGATGTAGGTACCAGCAGGCTGGGGGAATGGGGCTTCTTTGTGTGATGAAAAGCGCTTCAGGGGAGCCAAGTCGGGGGAAGCAGAGCTGTCTGATGTCCCGGAAGCCTGGTGAGCGGCGGGAATCTTCGATTAGAAAAGGACTAAGGTGGACTGCACTCCCAGGTATTTGTGTGTGCTGGCCCCGCCATGTGACCCCCGACTCTTCTTTGGCAGTTCATCGATGACCCTGGGCTGAGGAATGACACTCGAAATATGCCTGTGCAGCTGCCGCTGGCTCACTCGGGCTGGCTTTTTAAGGAAGAGAATGAAGAACCAGATGTTAAAACTTGGCTGGCTGGCCCCAAGGAAGAGGACATGGAGGTGGACGTGCCTGCTGTGAAAGGTACTCTGTGTCAGTTAACATCTTGTCTCCTTTTCTCCAGCTGTCCCCCAAGAGCGAGTTTCCCAGACTGCTGCTGCCAAGCCGGTCCTCTCCCACTCCACAGGACCTGAGCACGCTCAGCGGGTTCACGCTGATGGGGGTCGGTGGGCCCAGCCTGCGATACTCCTGTTTAAATAAGTCACACAGCTCCTGGATCCCTCTTTCAAAGCAGAGTTTCCTTGCAGCTTCCTGGCTGAGTGACAGTGGAGCACACCAGGCTGAAGGGATGGGTGCAGTGAGATGGCATAGGGGCTGGCCACTGATAGCCCTTCCAATTCTGTTATCTCGGGCAGTGAAAGAGGAGCCACGAGATGAGGAAGAGGAGGCCAAGATGAAGGCTTCCTCCAGAGCAGCCAGGAAGACCCCGGGCCTCCCGAAGGACGTATCTGTGGCAGAGCTGCTCAGGGAGCTGAGCCTCACGCAGGAGGAAGAGCTGCTTTTCCTGCAGCTGCCAGACTCACTCCCTGGCCAGCCGCCCACTCAGGACGTCAAGCCTATCAAGACGGAGGTGCAGAGCGAGGACGGACAGGTGGTGGTTATAAAGCAGGAGAAAGACCGGGTACGTTCACGATTGAGTTCTGTAAAGATGCAGGGGACCAGGAGGGGAAAGAGCCACCTGCAGGGGGAAGCAAAGGTGTGCCGCCCGCCCACGCTGAAATGCGAGAATAATGTGCATTTGTTCTTTCTGCCCGCGAGGGCCTTGGGGCTTTGTACTTCAATGCCAGTTGTATGTGTGTGTTTCACAATGAAATGTTTTGAATGTGTACAAATCAGAGAACATAGACTCTCATATACCATCACCCAGCTTTATCAGTTGCTGATATTTTGTCCGTTTATTTATGTTTGCTGTGGTTTGGGTTTTGTTCTGTTTCCTGACCAGTGTCAGGCAGCCCCAGGAAAAGGCCCTGTCTGGGGAGCTAAAGGATGGAGGGAACGGCTCCTCACCCAGTGTCCATCCCCTCGTTGCCTTCACAGGAAGCCAGGCTGGCGGAGAATGCTTGTACCCTGGCCGACCTGACAGAGGGTCAGGTCGGCAAGCTGCTCATCCGCAAGTCGGGGAAGGTGCAGCTCCTCCTGGGCAAGGTGACTCTGGACGTGACGATGGGGACCACCTGCTCTTTCCTGCAGGTGAGAACCTGCTGGGTCAGGACAGAGGCTCTTCGAGACATTGAGGAGTGTTGAGGACTTGGTGCTGAATATGGAGGAAGGGTTCTTGGGATTATCACGTTGAAATCACAGGACTGAGCGAGTGATAGGCTATGCGGTTTTGGTTCTCATCTCTGTCTCTCTTCATTGGCAGGAGCTGGTGTCCGTGGGCCTTGGAGACAGTAGGACGGGTGACATGACGGTCCTGGGACACGTAAAGCACAAACTTGTATGTTCTCCCAATTTTGAATCCCTGTTGGATCACAAACACCGGTAAAAGGAGCAGATGGAGGATGGCGGTGGTTGTGTCCACGGCTGCTGCCTGCTCCAGACGTTTTGTTCTCAAATCTGTTCAACCCAGAAGGCGCCTGTTTAGCCCACCCACTCCAGCCATCGTCCCAGTTTTCCCCACATGGCTCCTTCCCGCAGCAGCTGTGAACGGCGCAGTGACCTTCCCGCAGCACGGAAACTGCACACCCTCACTGCTGGGGGGCTTGTCCCTGCTATTTATTTTTATATTTATGGCTTACCTCTTCAACTGACTGCACCCTCCCCAGGTGGAGAGGCCGCACGGTCTGGGAAGGGACGGGCTCCTTCTCTAGGTGACGTCTTTGCTCTCAGGGTAGGAAGTGTAAGGACAGCTGCTGCTGCTGCTCCCGCCTTCCTCCCAACAGGCGGCACCAGAGAGAGAGCAGGGACTTCTCGAGTCTGAGACTCAGCCCCAGCCCTGCCCATTACTAGTTGTGTGATTGACAAACTACCTAACGTTTCTGAGCCTCATATTCCTCATCTGACAGAAATGAGGACGATACCTACCTCACAGGGTTGGCATGAGGATGCAGTGGAATATTGTCGATGAAAACTTGCACAAGGCCGGACATACACAGTAGGCGCTCAATAAATGTTAGTTTAGTTTCCCTTCGACTGAATCTATTTTCAAACAAAAGAGAGGTTCTGAGAATCTCAGATAAAGTGAATGGAGCTGCTTTATCCCACATTCTTACTCCGTGTCCTATCCCCCCAGCCTGATGCTCTGAAGGTTTGGGTTTGGGCCCTTCTATGCCCTTTTTTCCTAAGCACTCTTAGGCAAGTGCTTCCTGTTCATTGCTGCGAGGCCCTAGCTGTAGGTGTCATCAGAAGTGACAGAGTCAGAGACTCACTCCTCCCAGTGCGCTGCAGATGCCTTCGGGTGACATGGTGGTCCCAGGACTCCCTCCACCCTCACTCCTGCTGTAAGTAGCTGTTACTCTTCCAGTAGCAGCTACTGGAAGAGTAGCTGCTTCCACTACTTCTCAGAAGAAACCTGTGACCACTCCTGGAGAACTGTCACCACACCGAGTCAACTACTGCTGAGAAACAACCCCGGCTGAGAGAGTAAGTAGAAGATTTATTGAATAATGGCCTCACTTTGAATTTGAGAGGCCCACCTCTGTCTCCTGTCCCGGCATCAACTTGGATTCCCCTGCCACTGGCCGCGCTGGCCTTGTAGTTCATTGGTCTGTGGTCTTGTTCCTTTCAGCAGCTCACCACACTCTTGACCCTTCCAGTGTGTGGTCCCTAAGGAGCAGCTTCTCTTTCCTCGTCCCTTGTCTGCGGGCAGGGTCGGGGAGGCACCTCGGAGGCGGGGGAAGGCCTCCTGTTGCAGTGCTCGTGGTCATTAGACACCGGCAGCTCAGCCCCCTTTGCCGTGAGCTTAGCAGACCGCACACAGACTCCTCTTAACTTAGGGGGCCCAAGAGGTTTTGGAAGGATATGCCTTTCTTTAGTCTCGCCTTCTGTTCCTTGAGCCTGTTTTTCATTCGTCACCACTGGGGCTTCTCCACCGAGCCCCTCAAGCTGCCTAGCCAGCAGCTAGGAGGCAGGATTGACTGTGTAGTCCCCACATCGCCCCTTCTGTAGCTAAGAGCTCACGTGAGCTCTGTTGGATGGTACTGTTCTGGTCTCTGTTCTCACTGTAGAGGACAGGTGAGCAGAAAGGGTCTTGGAGATGTGTGCCATGGAAGTCCTGTTTGGTCTGATGCTGAGCTTTGATGAACCAACTCCTTTTATGTTCTCTGGGCTTCAGTCTTTGCTGCTTCTCCTTTTCCACAGCTAACGAACTGCCAGTGAGTCTCCATTGTAATCCTCTCTTTCTCTTGGTTACTTTGGTTCAAAAACACTCTTCTGCTTTTCCCGGCTAGCTCAAAGGCCCTGCCTCGTTAGATGTTTGGTGTTTTGCAGTCTTGAGTTCTTTGACGCCTCCACGGAAGCTTGAGGAAGAGTGTGTACCACTTTAACGTTCACCACTTTGCCATTTCAAGTATCTTGGGGATCGACCGTTATGACCCTGCGTCACAGTCCCCACGATCTGTCTCTACATTCCTGATACACAGATTGAACATCGTCAATAAAAGCGTGGCAAAAAGACGAGGCAAGTCTGCTTTCTTGGCCAAGCCTCCAAAGCATACATTTCTACCAACAAATAAATGCAAATGACAGGAGTAAAAAGCCCAAAGCCAAATTCATGTATGAGTGCAAATGGATGCAAATTTATTACTACCTGCATCTGTGTGTATGCATTTTGTTAAGATGCCAAAAGCAAGCAGTAGGCTTGTTCATTTCTTAATTACATGATTAAGTGACAGAGTGTGGGCCTTAGAGTCAGGGTGGGGTTTGAATCTAACTCCACCAGTATAACATTGGGGAAAATCATTTATCCTCCCTAAGCTCAGTTTTATTCATTTTCTGTAAAAATGAGATAGTAGTAGCTTTTTAATAGGGTTGCTTTTAAATTACAGTGGACATAAAACATTTATTTCCTGCCAGACAGAAAAGTGCTTCTGTCAGGACGTGATCAGCACAAGTAACAGAAAACTAGACTGACAGTGACGTAAGCAATAAGAATGTTTAATTGGGCAGTCTGGAGATAGATGGTTCCAGAGTTGGGTGGCAGCCAAAACATCAAGATTTTCTTGGATGCATTTGTTCTGCCATCCTTGGTGTTACAAAGTGGCTGTAACAACTCAGCATCATTTCTTCAAATGACAGTGTCCAGAGCCAAAGCAGGAAGCAAGGTAGACAGCAGTTAAGGAACTTCCTCCTCATTCTGCTCATATCAGGGAGGAATGTCCTTCAGAGGCCCAAAGAGACTTGCCCCATGTCTCTCTGATAGAGCGGACCACATAACCACCCTTGGATGGGCACTGGCAAAGAGGGATGGGTGGACCAGTTTGTCCCCTGGCACTGACGTCTTGTTGCCTTTGAGACAGGGTTTTGTTAGTAGGGAAGAAACAGGAATGGCACTTAGCTATAAACAGTCCATGATAGTTGCCACCGTGATTAAAGAATACTGTCTATTGTACTAAACTCTAACTATAGGTAGAATTTTTTTTAATGTTCAATTACCTTTTATTCTAAATAAACCAGTTTTAACATTTTAGTGCACATTCTTTCAGACTACAAAATTGTGTATGTTACATATAATGATATAAACATGCTGTTTTATCACATTCTAAATAAACCAGTTTTAACATTTTAGTGCATATTCTTTCTAAATAAACCAGTTTTATTCTAAATAAACCAGTTTTAACATTTTAGTGCATATTCTTTCAGACTACAAAATTGTGTATGTTACATATGATGATATAAACATGCTGTTTTATCACATTTCATCTCACTCAAAAATACATTTCTTCCATGTTAATAGTAAGCCTCTTGTACTTCAGATACTTCTGATCTAGCTGAAAATATCAGAGACAGCGCCCTTTAATCCTCCCAGACCTACCCACTTGGTCCAATTGATCACTCACACTTGGCTCTTTAAAGGAAGAGGCTTATTTCCTAGGTATAGTCACAGTGAAGACAGTGACGTCCATTGCCTATTCATCCCACCCCCAGCCTAGTGCAGGATACTTCCACAGTTGGGGCGTCCCCCTCTTAAGATGGCTACAGCTATAGTGACAGATGCCATGTTGACAGCTGCTCTTGGACTGTGGTTCAGCTGCCAAAGTTCTACTGATGGAGGGTCGGAACTGGAGTGGGCTTAGGTCTCAAGGGCATCATCTGAAAAAATGGAGATAGAATGCCAATTCTAGGAACCCCTCTGTGTGGCCAACTTCTGACTCAGCTCTTCTGAAGCGTTTCTTCCGTCCCCTTCCATGGGAGCAGTCACTGGTCCAACTCCCTGAAAGCTGAGGCAGAGGTTAGACTTCCTTCTGTTTGCTTCATTTACATTTAAGACCCAGTCAGTTGGAAAAAATGCAGTCTTGATCATCATTGGCCCAACGGTTTTATCTTGAGTACTTTTCAGGATTCAGTGGAGAAATAGAGACCATTCTAGGTACTCTAAGCAAAAAAGTTTAATACAGGAAGATAAGTATTTTTAGACTGATCGGAAAGCTGGAAGAGTGAGCTATAGGTTGAGTCTCCAGGATTCAGAACCCTAGAGAACTGATTTACCAGGGGAGCTACACGCTCTGCTAGAATCAGGAAGGCGGAGGACGTGGATCGAGCTATGAGGACACACTGCACGGCCGCAATCTAGGGATCAGGCAGTGCCCGCAGTCTCAACTGCCTGGGGAACCACAGAGCTAAAGATTGCACCCTGGAACACCTGAAGACAACCCCCCACATGCTGAGTGCCCTCTGTGTGCTAGGTACAGTTCAAGCGTAGTATTAGTGACAAAACAGAAAGGTCTCTGTCCTGGTGGAACTTGCATTCTTGTGAGGGAGATAGACAATAAGTATAAGTAAGTTACAGAGTATTTAGAAGGTGATGAGTGCTTGGGAATTTTTCTTTTAAAGGGTAAGGGGAGTCTATGGGTGGTAGTATCACAGTAAGTAGGGTAGGCTCCATTGAAAAAATATTTGAAGTGAAGCAGCCGGATCAGTAGGCAGTGGGGACAGCTAGGAGCTGACACTGTGAGAGAGGGGACAGTATCAGAGGTGGGGTGGGCAGCCCAGGTCCTGCAGGGCTTCGAAGCCATCATAAGGACTTTGGCTTTATTCTAAGGGAAATGATTAGCTGTTGCCAAGTGTCTCTTAGGTTTCAAAAGGCTCCCATTAGCTGCTGGGTTGAGACAAGGGTAGAAGCAGAGGCACCAGTTTGGAGGCTGCTACATTAACCCAGGCAACAGACGGCAGTGGCTTGGACCAGGGTTAATGGTGGAGGTGTTGGGAAGTGGTTGGATGCTAGATACTTATTTCAGAGGTAGAGCCACCTCAATCTGCTGATAGAGTAGATGTGGGGTGTGAAAGAGCAGAATCAAACAGCCAAAGCAGTAGGAAGGTGGGCCATACTTCCACCTTTCAAATCCCAATTGATAGAACCTAACTCACACCCAGCATCCTCGTGCAAGTGATTTTGGGAAATGTAGCATCCCCCTTCTAGCCCCAGTAGTCCAGGTTGGCACTTTATAAAGCGGTGGTTGTTGCGTGCATGTTCAACCACATTCAGCAGAGTTGGCTTAAGGATCCAAAATTTGAAGGTAAAGCAAGCTTTTTGTGGCCATGTCGTGCTGCCAATACAAAGTTCTCTGATTCATTTCCTCAAAACAGTATACTCCAAATGAAAACACAATACCCAAGACTGACTGTGCTCAGTGTGACTCATGCATTTTCCCAGGGCAAGATAATACAGGAATTCTTTTGGAAACAGCTCTTACACTGTACAACATAACATTAATGGCTACATTAGAATGCATCTTTGGACTATCAAAATTGACCCAAATATTCCCTGATTTCTGGACAATTTTGGTTTTTCCAATTTTTCACGATTTTAAAAGTGATGTGATAAACAATTTTGTAGTTAAATTGTTTCTGATATCCTCATCATTTCCTTAGGATGTTTTTAAATTAAAAATGGCTTTTTTGACATTAAAAGTGTCAAATTCTATGCCATCTTTAAGGCTTTTGGTAGATAACGCCCTCCAGAATGTTTGCACCTG